TAATTCGCATTTTTTAAAAAAAAAAAAAAAAAAAAAAAAATTTAAACAGTAATTTGACAATATTTTAATTACACATTTTTCAATAAAATAATATTACACGCAAATTCAAAATTTTTTCTTATTTTTAACCGCACATTCTCCATCAATCTACTATTTAAAAATATATTCTTTCAAAATAATGTAACTTAAACACACACTAAATAATAAATTAACCCTTCATGGAGAGATCCAATTGTTTAAAAATTTTGCTACAATGATAGGATTATCAATGAAGGGGACATGTACATGATTGGAAGTTTGTTTTTAAAAAATCATAATAAAAAAATACAACACTCCATCCTGCCTTGCCACCCCATCCTGTTTATCCCCCCCCCCTCACCCCTCACCCTCGGTCATTTGCCCTATTCAAGGAGCATTACTGATTATTCAAACATCAATCCTGCCATTGGACAGTTTAAAAAAAATAAAAAAATCACAACACTTAATCCCACCCTTGTCACAACACACTGTCACCTCACCTCCTGTTATTGACCCTAGCCAAGAAGCATTATTTTTCAAACATTTCTGCCATCCACTAGAGTTAAGAGATTGAATAATGGATCCTAATGTCTTATCCACGGCTTTGTTCCATCAATATTGCTACAGTGACAAAGTCAATGATGACTCAGTGACAATGAGACATATGTCAATACATGATTGGATAGCTTGAAAAAAAAAAACACTCACACACACCCACCAATCTCATCCTATCACAAAATACCTCGTCACCTTACCTCTTGCCATTGACCCTGGCAAAGAAACATATTCTTGTTCCATGTATGCGCAAGCTCTTGATGAGACCTTCCAAAGATAGGTTCGTACGTGTGGCTGTGTCTGAGTTTGAGTTTGGGAAATGCATTCATAAATGCTCTTTCGTTGCTGAAAAATCACACTCCCATTAATATGCTCCCCAGTGCCACGCTTAGCAGATGCACATGAGGGAGGACATTAACTAGTGCGGATTGAATCGAATCTTCTAGCAGAAAAGAAATTTAGATTTATTTGAAGAAGATATTTTATGAATATTAGAGTTTTAATTAAATGTGAAATCTAATATATATATATATATATATATATATAAAAGGTTCTGTTTCGCGCGGGTTAGTCGCTAACAATTAAAAAGGGTCAGACGATTGTGTAAGGGACGAAACCTCTTGAGATAAAGTTCCAAAAAGAGGTGTTCTTTTATTGGCGATGAACTTTACAATTGGAAACGAAAGACAACGTGCCTCCAGGGGCGCAAGCACACGAGTTACTGAAAGAAAAATGCTTAAATCTAAAAACTAAGGAAATGAAAATTACATGTTCTCTGTTCGAGAGTTTTGGATTCGGTCTTTTACTTCTATGTCCTTTCTCCCTTTTATACTTCATAGACGATCTCTTTGTGATCAACTACTCTAAAAACTGCTTGATCGTCCTATAACTACCCACTTTCTTCGTAATGGCCACCTTGTTATGAAAATTGCCTTTTAACTGCTGTCATTACCCTTCATCGTTCAACCGCTTTCGATTGAATTCCTTGAATCGTGGAACGTGATAGGGCTGCTTTAATAACTACTTTGATAACTGCACTTCTTGATAACCACAACGTGTTATGTTTGTTAATACCTTGGGCGACTTGAAGGTTTGGGCGAAAATAGAGTAACAGTTCTGGGCGACCGTATGACACTTTATTTGTTCAAATTTTGGGTGACTTGCAAACTTGGGCGATGGCGTTACCGCATTCTTGGGCTTCCTTATTTGGGCCTTCATCTTGATTTTTTCGATTGGGCTTCGTTTTTTGGGCTATTTGATTTGGGGATCCTCCAATTGGGCTTCACTCTTTGGGCTATTCGATTTGGGCTGAATTTTTATGTGTCAACAATTACCCCCCAATATGGCAGAATTAATAATAATTATTGAATTTTGCCATATTCACTTTGTGTTTTCAGCAACATTCGAAATTCTCAAGAATTTCAATCATTGTTTCCTTCTATAACTTGAAAAGGTGCGTCGTTTTGCAAACCCTTATAAACCTCAAACACGCTACTTCACTGCTACCAAACCACGCCTCATATTTTTTGCGTCTCTTTCACGATTCACTGTTCATCTTTTGCTTCCCTACTACGTAACCCTGAAAAGTTTCGTTCCTTCTCAATTGGCTGCTTCACAATCTTAAACTAGCGATTCCTTTAGTTTTGATGACTTTCAGAGACTTCTGAGTCGCCCATACATAACCCCAAGTTTTCTCGCACCTGCCGACGTTGGACGTAATGAGTTTTACTTGGGTCCTTTCTTCAACAATGCGGAGGCAGTTGAACAGGCGACGGTGGGTCAGCTGTTTCTTTGCACTCATGGCCCTCCTTTTCTAAACTCTCTGCCGCTGGGGCCACTTCGCGAAAGAGGTATTCACACTTGGCCTAAATCTGATGTAGCTTTTCGTAGGTGGCATGCTCGCCTTGTGGTTCATGGCCCTACTAAGGTACTTTTTGATAGCGCTAGGATTTCTGATTTGTTAGAAATCTCTATCCGCCCCCCTACTTTTGATTCAGCACTCTTTTCAATTGCCTTGAGTTTTTGGTCTTCTGAGTATAACACATTTATTTTCCCTCTTGGCCCCATGTCTATTACCTTAAGGGATGTTGGGGCCCTAGTGGATCTGCCACCTTTTGGCGATACCATTTTTCCTGGTATTTTAGTCTCTGGTGGCGCCCCAAAGTTTGGTAGAAACTACACCGATTCTTATTCAAGCCTGCAGACCCTTCACAATCATTCGAGCGCTGAGCCTACCCATACTGAGCGAGTGGCCTTCCTTTTAGTTTGTCTTTGTAAATATGTTTTGTGCGTGCCAAGTATAAAGCCCTCTCTGAGTTATTTACCTATAGCGCACGAATTGGCGCGTGGCAGGCCTTTGAATTTATGTTCTTTGTTTTTGGCTGCCCTTTATAGAGGCATGGCCTCTCTTCAAGCTCAATTGAAGAATGGTGCATCTCCCACTGGCAATTCCTTCATTGATTCATCTGTACCGGTCTCTTCACTATTCTTGAGGACATTTTGATTGGCTTCCTTGAGTAGTATATGCGCTTTAGGATGTGACATTCCTTGTTGCTGCCTCATCATCCGTCCGTAATTTCGTTGGAAACGCCTTTGTTGGGTCCTAGTCATCTCATCGAAGGGTATTGCCCTTCCTGCACTGTACTGGAATGAATGCCATACATTTAGCCGGCGAGGTTGCGGCCTAAATGTTCTTCTAGTATCTGCTGGTCTGAACTGCCTTTCAAAAGGCGGTCCTCTATAGAATGATGTACATCACCCTCTACCAGGCTGAATG